TGGTTGGTTGGTTGTTTAAGGTTTCTGATAAGTTTTTTCTCTAACTCTGTGAATGTTAGAGGTTTGACCTCTCAGTAACTTCAGGAAAGGATTGTTTGGAGACCTCGGCTTCTCTGTGTTCAGTGACTGAAGTGAACCTTCTCTTTTTGTTACCTGCTTGTTTGGTGTCAAAACTGCTGTGGGGTCTCGGGTAGATCCTACACATCCAAACCGAGCAGTACTTCAGTCATCACTGTGACTAAGTGTCACTTGCTGTGATTAAGAGTTGCAGAATAAATTGGGATATTCTTGGTAGCATGCCTGGAGTATGTGTGGGAGTGTTGGTTTTCTTTTTTTTTCCTTCCTTTTTTTTTTGTTTTGTTTTGTTTTTTTTTTTAATGGAAGTTTTCCGGTAAACATTTCTTGGTAATTTCCCTGTTTCAGTTTTGTGTTAAGAACAGCTGCTTAGATTCTGCCCTTTCAGAATTGTTGGGATCAATGCCAGGCTTGCTGTGTGCTCCCAGAACCTAAAGCTTTTGCTGTTCTTGCTATTCCTTTATTTTTCGTCTCACTGGTGTGTCATGTCTCGGAAAAGATAGAATCTTCACCGCATGAGCCTAGCTTGTCTCCTGTTTATTCTCAGTCTTTCTTGCACTGTGATTCATATCAGAATTGGTACAAAACTTTGTTGTTGCTCATGCTCTGCTAAATGATGACATTTAAAGACTGTTTGCAGTCTTTGTGGAAAACCGATGCCGCTGAATCATGTGGAACATAAAATCGTATGGGACGCAGATCAGTGGTGTTTCTGGTGTTGCTTAATGCCTGGAGAGCATTGTGCTGGCACTGGGACTGATTCTTTCTCGTTGTATCCTGTCTGTGATTACTGTCTCCTGGGAGGAGATGGTATAAAGTGCTCCTCGGGACTCTTCCCCTCGGTTACAATAGCATGTATTTTCATATCTCTATCGTCCTCAGCTTTCTCTCATCCCACATCTTCAGCCGTTCCCCCCCCCCCCCCCGTTTGGGGTTTAGTTGCTTTTGTCTATCATGTTGGCTTCATTAACAGTTTAGTTACTCAAAGGTCCTTCAAGTGAACACAAGTCATTGTCCCTTATTCTTCGTATGGACTTCCTAGTAATGGGCTTTGAAACATTGCATAGTAACTAATTTGGTGATAATTTTATATCACTGTGTACTTTTACTCTTTTCCATGTCTTGATCTGTTTGGTACATTAATAATAATTCTCAGGACAAATTGAAAGAGGCCTTAATTTTATTCTCAACTGACTGGGGATTTCTGTTGGTTTTGGAGAGAATGAGATCGGTCTAAACCTCAGTACCTTTATTAAACAGAAGTAAAAATGCCTAGCACACTAGTGTCTGATTTTTCCAGCTTCACTTGGCTGTATGCTTTGTCAAGGAATATTTTAGTTGAAGCTCTGCTACGATGCGTGTTACTTAGGACTTGTGTCTGTATAGAAATATTCCAGTCTTGTGACAGCTATTTCACTACTTGTGGAATCTAGTTGTCTTAGTTACTTAAGCTAAACGTAAGAGAGAACTGTTTCACAAAACACAGAAACATGCATGATGATAATTTGTTTTATTTAATTCAGGGTGCTGCTGGTGGAGCAAAGTGGCAGGAGCTGTGTCTCTGCTTCTTGCAGTGTCCTTTGTCATGAGAACCATGGTTGTGGAGCTTATGTTAACTAATAAGCAGGCTGTAGGCTTTACCCAAAAACCTCCCAAGTGATTCTGATTTCTTTTGAACTTTTCAGGTACTGGTGATAATGACCTTTATATAAACCAAGCTGTGGTATTTATTGAAGATGCAATACAGGTAAATATAACTTGTTTGCTGGCTATTATGCTTCCCATGCTGGACACTTGTCACACATTCTGCTAGTTTTTGAATCTGTGTGTTCAGCAATCAACATGTCGCATCCTCTCGATGTACAAAGCAAAATCAGAATTCTGAATTCCTGTGGGACGCAAATTTCAGTGAACTTTTAGCTGAGGGAAGCATGTTTTTCCACATAATAAAATAGATAACTTCTTCAAGGTTGTCAAAAAGAGATGCTGTTTTATGTTGTTTGGTTGGTTGGGTTGGTTTGGTTGGGTTGGTTTTTGTTTGGGTTTTTTTGAGAGTGACTGGCCTTACTGCTAGCACAAACTGAGCAAACTCTGGAATTTGCTTCTAAATCTGATTACTTGCTAAGAGGTGTTAGAGTTTAAGGCTAGCTTCAGGCATTAAGCTTGAACTCTTTTGCTTCTGGTGAACTTAGTGTCTTTGGAAGTCTGCTTTCTCTCTTTGTCTCTCCTTTACTGGCCTTTACTGCAGATTCCTAGATCCTATTATCTCCCAGTTACTAGTTGTAGGCAGTGGGAATGCTGGAGTGCAGTTCTTGAGTTCTCTTGCTACTTTTGGTTGGGAGATTTCTGGGGATATTTATCAGCAGAGGCAGACTAACAGCAGTCAAGGAGCAGCCACAGAGAAGGGGCTGAGCAGATTTTGGCAAAACTAGGCCCATTCTGAAGAATCAAAGGTACTTTCTTGAACTTAAAGCACATTTTATTGAAAGATATAGGTTGAGGTCTCTAATACTCAAAATTATTTTGCATCCTATGTCTTTTTGGAAAAGAAAGACAAAGGAAAAAGTATCCACAAATGGAATGAATGCTAGAAAGGTGAACTAAATAGGTGGACTGTTTTAGTGAGTACCTAGACTAGGCACTGAATTATTACAGATGCTGTTATTTGTAGTGATGATAACAGCTGTTTCAGATGACTGCCACACAGTTTGATTATCTAAGTACAAAATGTTATCTCATTCCATGTATGTAGGCTACAGCTATGGTCATTGGTGACTGATACTTTAATAACTTATGCAATAATTTCTTTATCTTATTGTGAAACTGGAATTATCTCAAGACTTGAGATTTGTTGATTGGAATTTGGTTTATTTTGGTAATCTGATCTTTGTCTTTGGGACAGACTGAATATAGTGTCTGAATTACCCATTTTGCTATTTGCCTTCAGTATCGATCTATAAATCACCGTGTGGACTCCAAATCCCTGTGGCTTTATCGATGGTACTATTCAAGAACTTGCCAGTGGTAAGAGCTTGGTATTCTTTTTGCTTTTTTGTTTAGGTGTAAATCTTAATAAAAAAAATATTCTTCATCTTTCATTGTTGATAAATGATTACATAACTGTGCATTTATCCTTCTAAGAGCTTACAGTAGGAAGCAAGTGGATTGAATATATGTGAACATGATAGAATTGGAAAGCAACAAATTATATTTAAGTGTGATCATGTAGATGGCTCTTTTGAGCAGGACTGTTGCATGAATGTATTGTTGGCATGACTTACAGCACTGTGTGTTAGAGTTTTCTAAGGGTTTTTTTCTATTTGGTGGTCAGCAGTTGTATTACTCTAATCAAGTGCCACTTTGTGGCCTAACCCATTTGTGTTAAATGTGATATTATGAAGCTTAGTTTACTTCTGAGAAAGTTGCTTTACTGTAAGTATTTTGTTATTATTTTGGCTCATTTTAGGGGGTTGTGTTTCATCTCTGTCCAAACAGGATTTTGAGTTTAACCATCACTATAATTCTGGCTTTGGCTTTCATTGAAAACCCTTCTTCGCTTACTATCACGTCGGATGTACGATACCGCCTTCCTGCGTGGAATCCTCCATGTGGCCTAACAGAAAGCATTGAGCTCCTTTGCTTTCTTGTATTCGCAGTTGATGTATCTGTGAAGGTGAGCATCACATTCATCCGCTATTGAATGAAATGCCAGACATGTTGGGCAGCTCAGCAGATGTAGGCAATGTGGCTTTTCTCCATTTAATATTTCAGGAAATGCCTTAGAAGTGTTATTCTAATCTTGCATTTGCATGATGAGGTTGCTTTGCTTTATTAAAGCCTTACTTTCAGCAGAAATTAGAAAATACATATTTTCTAAATTTTAAAAATGGTATTTTTTTTAAATCTAAGAAATATAAACTCCGATTTGTGTGGAGTAAGTGAAATAAATTTTGCTGTGAAGACAATGATTTTGGCTTAGGTGCTTGTATTAGGTTATAAAAATTGGGATATATAGTAATTAAATATATGCCAGCTCATTTGAACGAGAAGTCAGAAACTGAACCTTTATTTGCATACTTATTTCTAGAAAATCTGTTTTTATGCTTATGAGATGGATATTTTTCTTGCATTCAAAGGATTCCTCTTGCATGGTCATTGTGCATCTCTCACTTCAACTGACCTTTAGTTAGTTCTTGTAGAAAATATCTCTGATCAGTGTATTTTGGTTTGCATTTTGGGGACTTCTTTATGAGCACTAATGTAGAACTACAAATACTTGGAAAACAGTCAGTGCTGACTTTTTAGGGTGTTGGAATTTACTATTAAAATAAGTTGGCTTTATGTTTTTTCCTTTCCCAGAGTTACTTAATTGGATGGGCAGAATTTTGGAAAAATAAATGGCTAATGGCATATATACTGACATTAATTATTTCCCTTGCTGATTGGATTGTTTCGCTGAGTTTTTTCTGCACAGAGGTAAGAATTGTTCTCTACAGAAACAATCAGCAGCTTTGTTGTGGAGTATGGCAGAGGAGAACAACCTGCCAAGTGGTAGTGGTTTATTGGACAATTAAAGGAGGAGGGCAAGATGGTTCATTTTTGGTCTTTGATAGCTGGATAATACACTGACCCACAGAAAATGTTTGGTGTAATGTGGCTTCTCAAGGGATTCTGTTTGATTCTTAGTAGAAGATCTGAGTTCTTTGGTAAAATTAAATAAAGCTTTGCTGCTGTCAACAGTGAAAGACTATAGAGAAAACTCTGGTTGCATAGCACTGACTTTATCGTACGCTTGGAGAATTACGTTCTTAACATGATTCAGTGGCGGAGTCTATGCGGTGATGTATAAGTAAAAGGTAATTGTACAGTCTAACGACTGTTTTCTAAGATGAACTTGTGTTGTGTTTGGAACAGTTGTGTCCTGAGAGGAATGTCAATTTTGTGAAGCTGTTCTTCAAGTGCCCTCTTTTATAGAATAATGCAATCTCCCAATTGGTGGTCTTTGCCATGACATAAATCTGCACGAAATTAGTTGTTGTTCGCTTACAGTCATAATAAAGAAAATACTAATATGGTAAAAATGCTGGGAAGTGCATGAGGCAGAAATCCTAATTTTTGCTTCTTGAGTAAGTTCTTGTATCAAAGCCATTATCTGTTGCCTTCAGATAACTTTCAAACCTATTTAAAATAATTGTCTGTATTAGTCAGGATTAGGTTGGATGAAGTTGCTACTGTTAGTAACCCACTGTGTAGTTGTTCATGCTTCAGTGGCCACTGAAGTTGACCACTGGTCACTGCTGACCAGGTTGTGGTGTAGTATCAAAGAGATGATCTTAAAATGTTGAAAGAACATGTCACTTAAACTTACAAGCATCAAACTATAAGAAAAATGCGTATGTCCTTTTCATACTCAAGCCAAGTAAATGTAATGCAGCTGAAAGAAGTTAATTACAACATGGGGAATGTGTTTTGGAAAGAAGTGATTGTAAAATCTTTAGGTGTGGTAGTGGACAAGTTGTTTGAACAGGAGCCTTCCACAGAAAGCAGTGTTTTTTGGTTTTTGGTTTTTTTTATTATTATTTTTTTATTTATTTCTGTTACTGAGAAGGCTGATGCTCAATGCAGGATACTGGAATGCTTAAAGTAACTGATAAGTTACAGAAATAACTTGAAGGCTGGCAAGTGTCTTGAATGCAAGAATCAAACAGCTTAATAGTTTTAGTGCATGTTAAGGAAGATAAAGGGATCACCTGTTTGAGTCTTTCCAGAGGCAGAAATTGCTGAGTAATTAGCAGGGCCTTTAACTGCAAAAAGGGGGAAAAAAAAAATCTGAAAATTGAAATCAAGCACTTATTTTCAGAATGGGAATCTGTTTTTATTCAAAGGAGCTTGCTATTAATTCCCTTCTTGAAGTGGACCTTGGCAGCCCTCTCTTGACCTGCTTGTTATGTCTACCGAGCAGTAAAGTTAGTTCATGATTAGTGACTTGATGAGGCTATTGAAATGTCACTGTGCTTTTTTAAAGTAGTTTCTCATTCTTTTAATGAGGCACCTATAGATGTAAAATCTTTTGTGGGTTTTGTGACTTCAGTGTGACAGTTTGAGCTTCTATGCACAGCCTTTTTATATTGAACTGTTGACTTTGTTGATAATGTGTATCAGTGTTTTTCAACAGGTTTATATCAAAAGTATTTGTGGTGCTAGTCTTATGGGAACTCAGTATCCGATCTGCTGCCTTTTGCAGAATGTGAGAATAAGAAGAATTCTTCGTCCTTTCTTTCTGCTTCAGAATTCTTCTATGATGAAGAAAACATTAAAAAGTATCAACAGCACGTTGCCTGAAATGGCAAGGTAGGTAACAGTGTAGAAGACATTCTTTCACAGCAAGCATGCAGTAACCCTCAGAATTCTGGTGTGTGACATGTGAATAGCTTCTTTCTTGATGGCCTAGCTAAGCAGCTGGTGAGATAAGTGGCAGTGGATAAAGGTTGTGTTAACTTTTTGATTCCTTTGATTCCTTTAGTATGTAAAATTTCTCCAGAATGCATGTGATGTGACTCTGTATATGACAAATAAGGGGTTTTTTTATGCTAGTTGAGTGGACTTTTTAAAATCTGTATATGTTACATACAGCCCTTTCGTAAGCGAAGAACTGAGGCATCATCTGGGCAAAGGTCTATGCTGTGTTTCTCTAAGAAGGCCTCTTGGAGGTATGGGTAGATAGACATGTACTTGTCTTCCAGTCATGAGTGCCACGTAAGAAGATGCCTCTTTCTTTACATTTTCAAAGTGCTTTACTTCATCTTTTTCATTTCTAAATGGTTTTAGCGATAGATGTGCTCCTAATCAGACAGCATGATACTTTTTGAAAGAGATCTTGTCCTGTGACATGGGTCGTGTGCATGTACAGTTTGTAAGACTCGCTGTCCTTGCCTGTTACTTTTTGACTTGCAAGTCCAGGAGAATCAAAGGTGTGTGCAAACCAAATTGTATTTGGTTGGAGGGTGCACGTATGGTCCTAATCTTGAGAAGCAAATCTCATTGACCTCACAACTGTCAAAGCTTATGCTAAGGAGTCCTGAGCAAGTGTGATTCTTATTTTGAATCAAGACTTAGATTGTCTTCTGTTATCTCCATATAGCTTCCTAAAACTACCTCTGGTTTTCTCTGTACAGCATCCTTTTGCACTTTTAGCAAAGAATATTAAGAATAAGGTCAAGTTGGCATTAATGCAAATGATATGTTTTCTTTCCAACAGTGTTGTTCTTCTACTAGCTGTTCATCTGTCTCTATTTACCATGTTTGCCATGCTGCTGTTTGCTCGAACAAAGGTAACCAATGGTATTTATGCTGTAGTGCACCTCAGTGTTGGTTTTTTGTTCTTTATTCGCTTAGCTGCTGCATGTCTAGTTTTATAATCAAACTAGGGAAACCTGTTTCCCCTGAAAAGGTCATGTTACTTGTCAAACTTAAGTGAGCTTAAAGTCCATTTGGAGGGATTTAAGGTGTGAATAGTATTTGTGGAAAGTGGTGTTTTTGTAAGTGTGCATTAGACAGCCCTTCAAAACAGTGTTAGATTCTCCATCTTTTAGTGAAGGATTTATTTTCTACATTGTGCTTTGCTTCTTAAGTGATAATGCGCCTTCCTACTCCACAAGTGAAATCTGTCACTTGCTGTAGGCTGTTGTATATTAATTTTTTGGTCTAGCTCTGCTGCTCAGGGTGAGATCAGATGGTTCCATGTTAAAATGTGATTGACATCTTTATGGTCCTGCATTTTACTGGTATTGATGCCAGTATCACGGGTAAGAAATTGAAAGTCTGTTTATGCGAGAGGCTTCCTTGTACAATTCTCCATTTTAATCCTTTGGGTTACTTTCTCTGCTTTTGCTGGAACCTTCTATGCTGTTCTGTGTCCAAAGCTCTTAATCTTGTCACTTTTTTGTTTATATTATCACTCCTGTATTTTCTCTTTTCCTTATCTAGCCTTTGCTAAGTTTAGTTTCTTCTGTGTTTGTTTTATCTTCCGATACTGCTATCCCTGGCCATGCCTTGGTAGGTTTTTGCCTGGTTTTGCCTGCATTACTCCAGTATTTGGTTTCTGATTTGTGTTTTCCTCTGTGGATTTTTTTTTTCCTTCTTTTTCTGATTTCAAAAAGCAAATTTGAAATTTTGTGGTTAAAATCACATTTGTGTTCCAGTGTTCCTGGTATGTTCCCTCTCCTAAACTTCCTGTATGTTAATATATCACATGCATATCATTTTGTGTCCTTACTTTTTAGAGGCCTTCCAATAAATGTGTTCCTGTGAGCACTAAGATTTGTCACACACTTCTCCCAGTAATTTTAGTCCTCTCCTTTGTCTCTGTTTTGTGCCTTCATTTTTACTGCAGTTTGCACTTGAGCCTTCCTGTAGTCTCCCTTGTGATAGGCAAATTCCTTGAATTCCCATGTTAGAAGCACAGCTCCATTTCCCCACTTTGTTTAGTTGCAAGCTGGATCTTTGTTTTAAGTTTGTATGTCACATCTAATTTCGGTTATGAGCTTTACCAGCAGATGAGAATAGGAACTTGTCTACCTGAACCAGTCAATTTTGTGTACATTTGGGTGAACAATAACAAATTAGAGAGCAGTCTGTCTTTAATTTTTTTAATTGCTGGTCTAATACTGTTACACACTAATTGTATCTAACAAGGCAAAATACCGAAAGCAAGTTCTGAACATTTAGTAATGAAATTCATGCCTCTAGATTTTTGCATTGTCTTGTGTATGTCCTCTAGAGGTACGTTTGTTGTTGCAGCAGATTCAAGGGCTGTTTGTTCTGTGCTGCATGGTTAATGTTTGTATTGTTTGCACTCTGCATCTTTTTTTAGCTGTCTCTGCTTGAACTCAGGAGGGGGGGGAATAAATATGTAAATGACACAAGATCAACCTCCCAGTGGGTTTTGATGATAATTCTGAAACCATCTGAGTTTCAGCAGATCAGCTAATGCTTCCACTGAGCCACAGAATAATCTTAATGACCTTAGTCACCAAAGTATTTGGAAATAATTTTTGGGTGCTGTAGCACTGATCTTCTCCCCTGCTCCATAAAGGAGTTTTAAGTGCTGTGTGATGTTTTTGTTGATAGTGTACATAGCATTTTGAATCTTTATTCTTTTGAAAACAGAACAGCTGCCTGTTTTCCACCAGCCCAGTAGCTCCTGAGATGTGCAGTAATGCTAGTTATAACATGTTGATTTATATTATGTACTCTTACTTATGTAAATATTTATTTAATCTAAAATAAGACAAGGGCTATCCTTGCACTCCTCCTTTTAAGTCCACCTTCAGGTATGTTATTGAAGAGAGTCCTAAAACTTGACTGGCTGTGTTCTGTGTAGATCTTACTGTAATTAAACAGAACTCCCTGTGTATGTAAGGGGATAACTGGAGAAAGGGAAAAACATTTGTTCTGGATAGTGGTAGTAACATTAGTGCAAGTAACTAGTGCAGAGGATGTTAAATTTCCTACTCAGAAGTCAAAGGAGAAGTGAGAGACACATTTCTCCCTCAGTGAGTATGCTGGTAGGGCTGTAGGCATTTGAGAGTTGCTTCTAATGTAAAGGCGAGGATCCTTTGTAGCATGGTAGTTGTTGAGGCAGCTTGTCATTACTGAGGAAGCTGTTTTGTTTCTGTTCTTCAGTACAGACAAGATTTATTTTGATATTGTCCTCAAATTGTGTTATACCTCTGGACAAGTCCTGGAGTGTAGTCCTGGAGTATACAATTCAGGGTTGACTAGGTTTCTATCTCTAGCATGCTATAGGGCAGCTTCTACTCTATGCTAATTTTATAATGCAAGTTGAGACTGAATTAGTCTGTGATTATTTTTTTTTAAATTACGTTTTTAAAATAGTGTTTAGGGAGTCCTTGCATCTCCAAAACACTAATATCTCTTGGGGCTAAGAGTTAATGCTTTTTCTATCAGTCAGGGGTGGCTTCAGATTCCTATATTGTTTGTGACATTGCTGTTCTTCCTGGGTCTGAGGTGCTAGCTAGACATAATTTCTGTACTGAGCTTCCTGTGTTTGTCTTAGCTTGCTGTTCTTCCTCATGTTTTTTAATAGCTGTTAATAAGTGAAGTGATTGCACTGTGTTCCTGCACATTGTCCTAAGGCTTGTCTCATGCTTTTTTCATGGGGTGGATTTGATTGTGTATCTCAAGACATCGATTGACTGATATTTTTGAAATTTCTTTTCCCTTCCTTGGTAAGACAATGTGAGTGATTCTTTGGTGTTTCTCCATCTCTTTGACTAGGATGGCCAGCAGGATAAGGAGTGGGTGGGGTATTTCCGGAATTTGCCAGATTCGCTGACATCCCTGCTGGTCCTGCTGACTACTGCAAATAATCCTGATGGTGAGCAGTCTTTCAGACGTAACCTTAGTATCTCTCTTCAAAGAATAATAGAGTAAGGTTATCTTCAGACTACTATAACCATTCTTTCATCTGATAGTTCTTTATACAGCTAGAAGATTATGTAGACATTTTTCATGCCTTTAGTAACTTGTTTCTTGCCTTTCCTTTGATGTAATTATACATGCATCTCTGAAGTGGAGCTATATAAGAGCTTTTACCAATTGCCAAAAATGGATAGAAATATCTAGTTTTCATCTTAAGCATTACTTTTTTTTTTTTTTTGTTAAAACTACAGTGATGATTCCTGCATATTCTAAGAATCGAGCATATTCAATCTTCTTCATACTTTTCACTGTATTAGGTAAGTTGCCTCCTGTCCTCAGTCGTTTAAATACACTTTGACACTTGTGCATGCCATCTACAGAGTGTTTTATTTTTCTAGGAAAGTTTAATCATAAAATTCTCTCTTTTTTTTTTTTTTTTTTTTTTTTTTTTTTTTTTCTTTCCCACCCACGTTCCCCCCCCCCCCCCCCCTTTTTTTTTCTTCTTTTGTGTGTGTAGTGTCTCCAGTTACTGAGTAGTGGCTTGTAAGGTAACTTTCATGGAAGGTACTTATGGTTTGGGTTTTTTTCAGCAACAGATCGTAGGGGAATGGATACATTACAGCATATGCAGACATGAAAAACGTTTTGGAAATCAAACAGAAGAAAACTAAGCCTTTTTAAATTTTACATCTGGCTTACTAGATACATATCTGTTTCTCAAAGAACTTTCAGTGTATTTTAATAATTATTGCCTCTCTTTCTCCAATAGGCAACTTGTTTCTAATGAACTTGCTTACAGCAATAATATACAACCAGTTTCGAGGTTACCTTCTGGTGAGTAAAGCATTCCTAATTTCTGTGTTCTACCATAACCTTAAAACTGTGAAGCCCTGAGTATTAAAAGTTTCAGCTGTGTTTTAAAGCAGAATGTCCATCCTGGTTGTATATACAGTTTTAAGATACTAAAGATTCTTTGATGTAGATACTTTTACCCTTATATGCTGCTGTAGCTTGATCCTCCTTCCATGACAAAATTACCTGCTTGTATACTTCCATGTATGCTGTGCATCTGCAACTTTGAATATTATAGTGGGGGGGAATAATACCCCAAACTATTATAAAATTGAACAAGGACAAGTGAACAAGCAACTTAAACTTGGCTTCTGGAAAGAAAACCTGCTGTCCTATTTAAATAGCTATTGTTGCAAACGCTAGCACTTATTTTCTCTGAGTAGGATGGCATTAGAAGCCTTCAATAGAACAGAATTGCTGACTAAAACATCTTCACGTTTGGTATTTTTCACTTCTTCCTTACTGTGGTGGGTGGGTGTGATGTTACAATGAGTAGGGCAGTCTGCTGCTACTGAAAGATGGACTTGAGCCCTGTGGTTGACTTGTACCAGAGTAGTTGCCAGTAGGTACAGTAGATATTCTTGGTAGTATTCAGCCTTAAATAAAAGGAACCTGTGCTTACTCTCCATGCAATGCCAGTCATTCCTGTAATAATTTAATGTGCTTCTGGAAGGTGCCTGATCATTCGTGATTCTCTCCATTTTGTGCAATGTGAATCTGAAGTCTAGTGTAATGACCTCTTGACTCGGATACCTATATTAGAGAAGTAGAAGCTGACAAAGTAAGTGTACTTCTGCATGTTGTTGAAGGAGTGTGCAATCTGTGGTGACAATTAAACTCATCACTAAAAGTTCTTTTTCCTTTACTAACAAGCTGTGCAGTGTGCTTTGTTGCATTACATACACAAGTTGTTTATTCTCCAGCTGGGAGTGCAGTCTGGATTCCCTTAGCAGGAAATAGCGTAAGTGCTTTTGTTTCTGTACAAGATTGTTCAACTGCACTATCTGGGAGGAATTTTAATGACCTGAGGCAAGAATATTTTAGAAAGCAGGGACAAAGTAAGTCAAATGAAAGATCATCTCAGTTACTTACAGTAAAATGTACTTAATGCAAGAGGTTAAGTTTGTGGCTTTCCTATTGCTATTCCAAAAAGAAGTAACTGACTGAATAGGTGGTGAAAGGAAGAGGCTGCATGGGTGCATCTGGAGATCTCCAGAATCAGGTTTGTTTCCAGAAATGAATACAGAACATCCAAGGCACACCACAGCCACTTATCAGTTAGCACACACAGTAGATTAGTAGAAAGGCACAGTGCTAGGCTAAGTATTAATGGTTATCATGCTCATGACACACAATTGAATCTTTGGTCAGGCAGGCATCAGTCAAAAGGGGAGCTGTTGGTCTCTTGCTCCTCGGAACAGGCCAAGTCTCTCTGAGGTGCCATCTTCAAAGTGTTTGAGATTTTTCTTTAAGCTTTGTAACTTCTGTGGTGATCCCCCCCCCCCCCCCCCTATTGAGTTAGTTCTTCAGGAGGTTCAATTCCACCTGTGTTTTTTACTTTCTTCTTGCATATTTTATAAAACTTTACAGCTCAGTAGCAATGTTTTTGGTAAAGCTGAGTCAGGGTAATGCTATGCAAAAGCACTGGAGTCTGACAGCTAAACCTCTGGGCTGTAGGTTAAGCTTTTCTTTTTTTTTTCCCCTTTGTGCCAGGGTGGGGATTGGTCTCTGTAGCTTGGAATGAACAGTGGTTCCTGGTTGTGTATGTTCCAACTGGTCTTTTCTCATGTTTATAGTTTCCTTCAGGTTTAGTTGCAGGGGAAGCTGGTAGCTTTGACTTTGAGTGTCATCTCCCCTTATTTACATATGGTTTTATAGTTACTTCATTACTTCCTTCCCCTTCTACTTATATATAGTCCTATAGTTCCTTCTCCTTACCTAATTATTCTTATAGTTCATTCAGTCCTTCAGAGGAGTGGAGTTGAGGGATTGGGGGCAAAAGTGAAATAATAGCTGCTTTGGTAGAACTCCAGACAGAAGGTAATGCTTGTTGGATAGTAAGCCTTAGGCAGTATTACAGAAAAGGAATTGCCTCTACCTTCTTGTGGGAGAGGGGTGTTTAATACATACAAAGAGGAATTTTTGTAATCCTTTCTTCCTGCTTGGTTTATTTCAAGAAAAAAACTTTCTCAGTTTTTTTCGTTCCCATGTGAGAGTATGCAATAATCTGATTCTTAATAAAACAGTTAAGTTTGAAAGTGAGGGGAAGCATGAAAAGCTGTGGCTCTGACTTTCTTTTTGTTTGACAAGAAGCTGGAGTTGAACAAGCTGTCTAACTCCTCTCTTTGCACAGTAGTATGAATTTCTGTGAATATGAGAGCTTTGCTGGTCTTGTCTTGAACTGGCGTGTCAATACATAATTAAAAATAAATCATGACCTGGATGTTTACTTGACCTCCAGAGACTTGTTTGCTTGCTTCCCTCCTTTTTGTACAGGGAGTTCTTGAGGGGAGCCAGGCCTAAGGCAGTCTCCTGTTCCGAGCTCTAATCACAAATCTAAGGGTTGTGCAAGAGGATCAGTATATTTTCTGACCATAGGGCATAGCACTACAAGAGGAGCTGGGTAGCCCTGGTCTTCCTTTAAGTCCTTCTGGTAGGTGTGGGCTTTGCTGATTTTGGCCCATGACTCTTCATGGTATTCCTTTTTAACTGTGAAGTGTCTGTCTGGTTGGACCTCATCTTTAGACAACTAGATCTAGTGGCTGATAATGGGGACTTTAGCAGCAGGGGAAGAAGAAAACAATATCTTTCCTACCTGAAAAATTGTTCTAGTTGAACAGATATGGCTCTTTCTGAGGCTTTGCAGTAGGTTCCACCAAAGGACTGGGCAAATAATTTACTGGTCTTATTTGTATCATCTAGTTGGATTTCCTTTAAACAAGTGTGAGTAAATTGTCTCCTCTGTTGTTTTGACTGTCCAGAAATCAGTTCAGTCCTCCCTCTTCAGGAGGCGACTGGGAATCCGGGCTGCGTTTGAAGTGCTTTCTTCCCTCAGAGAGACTCCTGCTAATGCACAACAGTAAGTGAAGAATGTTGAAACAGTAGATTACCAGGAAGAGCAGATTTTTGATCATCTTATTTAGTATAATTATTGAAGATCCCTTCTTGAAAAATGGCAGTTTGCTCATCTCTTGTTTTTGGTTTACTGTTTAACTGGATGTTTATAACGCACTGTTTGGGACTCCTGTGGGATGTGTTTCCTTTTTATTTCTATGTCTAATTTTATCCCCTTTTCAAAAAAAAAAAAAAAAGGGGAGGAAGGAATGCATTTGGAACAGCTGTTTCTACTATCAAGACAGTTACCTGTTCTTTGGGCCATTCTGTTTTATTTTCAATAGGTTGCATGTCAGCATTGGGGCCGTACTACAAGTGCTGCAGAAGGTTGAAATGGATTCTCGCTGCAAGCAAGCCATCATGAGAGTAAGAACTATATTTTCTTAGGCTTTATATTGGTGACTAGCAAACCCTTTGATGGGACAGCTGTGGAAACTGGTTTCCTGAATCACACCATTGATGTAGGAACTTTCAGATCAGTTTCATTAATGCTACTTTCTTTAAGGGTGAACAGAGGCCTAGCTCAGAGTTTGTTCTCAGAACAAAACCAGGCTCTAGGCAATGATTTCACTTCAAGATTGCTGCTACTTTGATTGGTGTGATGAGGAATGCATTCACCTGTAAAGGGGTGTAGAGTAATGAAAACTCTTGTTTCGGCGGAGCTAATATTTTCAGTTGCTTTACTTTCCCTCTGGAAGTGAGGCGTTTCTCGCTGTGCTTTAGAGCTGCTGTCTATAGCAGCTTCCCTCTACCATTTGAAAATGTCTTTTTTTCATTGGATTTTAGCTGCGCTGTTCCCTCTAGGTATTAATATTTGTATCAGGCTACAGAGAGGGTGGTTTTACTTAACTGAAGACTTAATTAACATTGCAGCTCATGCCATGATTTGCAGGGACTAGAGAAATTACTTAGCTCTGTTAAGAGATGCTGAGATTATTGGTGTGGTTTCAGAAAAAGTATCTGAAAGAGATGTTGCTTTTTGAGAATAACGTTGTGAGTCTTTTGAAGTCCATATTGCAAAATTTTCTGCCAAAAGGAAGTGGCAATTCCAAGCTGACAGTTATAGCAGAAGCAGTTGTCTGCCTCTAATGTGAAGGTTGGAAGAGGTACACGTGTATTGTTTCTGATGGTTGTTGTCTGGGATAGGGGATGTATAAACAGAGTTACATGAAAATACCACCCCTGCTCTGTAATTATCCTGAGCGGTAACCATGGCATTAGGTACACAAATCCAGATTTTAGTTTTCCTTCTTGTAGCTGGTGGGTTTTTTCCATTTCATTTATTGCTGTGTGTGCTACAGTTGCAGTTAGCGTTTAGCATGCTGTGGAAGCCTTTATTGTGTTAGTTTGTGAAGTAGTTCCATCCTTTCAGGTAGTAATTTCTGCAGAACAGTGATAACTGACATAGTATCTTAATTCTTTGGATCATAACATAATGGCAATACTAGATGACACTAAAAGTTCAAGTACGTCAAAAGAGCATGCTCCTTCTTAAGCAGCATGCAATCCTGGAGATGGAAAATAGAAAAGGTGAGAAAAATCCCATCGTGGCAGTTTTGTGTTAAAGCAAAGCGGTATTGAAGCTCACTCTAATACCTCGTGTAGGTTTTATTACATCTCTGTTCATGGACTTTTAAGATAGTCTGAGTGTGTTGGCACACTTTGAAGATGCACCTGTTGCAGTTTTTGATCTGAATGTTTCTCTTTCATGTAAAGTCACTCAAAACATGCTCCTGTGACCAGCTGTCAGCTGCCCAGTTTCAGAAGCTCTTTGAAGAACTAGACAAAGATGCCATTAAGCAAGTATGTATCTGACAATCATTTACAAAGTGTCATAAGTTGAGTATGATCTTGCACAAAAACAAGTGGTGGTATTCTGCTATGAAGCGTATAAGCAAACTAAACAACTTGTTGAACTCAAGGCATGATCCAATGTCACTGATTTTTGAAGCTGTTCATGGATTGCTGTTATAGTCACAAGTGGCATTGCTCTGGGGGCTTTTACAGTGTTAGTTTGGGGTTGCAAGGTAGTGTTACATGTATGAAAGCGTGGTCGTTTTTGTTGGGAATTCATTACAAGGAAATGTAGAATAGGATTTAGACCTTATATCATAGACTTTCTGAAAAGCACTGTAGAGAAATGAATACCTCTGTAGTAAATTGGTTTTGGTGAAATGTGAGGGATTTGTCTTGTTATGACACCCCTATATTAAAGCAATGCATCTCTGCTTATATTAGTCTTTGCAGGATAACACTTAAATATACTCAGGCAAAGTCTTTTCTCCAGCCCCTGATTGAAGAATGAAATGTGGATTCTTTAAGTGTTCAGATGAAGATGGGCAGAATGCACTCTCTACTTGGAGAAAGAAAGAAAAAAAAAAATCAAACTTTTCAAGGGTTAGGAAATGTTCTCTGCTTGCATATAACTAAGACTTCTGAGTCTTTTAATGGAGATAAAATGTTGAGAAATAGGATAGGAACTTTACAATTAGTAGCTTGGTGTTCAGTTTACGTGCTTGGTGCACTGGAGAGAGGTTGGATTATCTCCCTTCTTTGCCATTATCTTGTATTATGCCATAACAGTCAACCTGTTTGCTACTCAGAAATGATCTCCTGCTGCTAATAGCCAGAGCTTGAAAATATCTTCCTACTGAAATGTCAAAATTAGCCTGTGGCTTTTAAGTTTTGCTTTGAAAATACCTGTTTCTTAAATCTGAGACAGGATGTGTGTTTCCTGCATTATTTTTAATATTACTAAAATGCTTATGCTTTGTGCCTTAGCAAATCCTTTGTGTTCTTTTTCAGCATCCTCCCAGTCCAGAGTACCAATCACAATTTATGCAGAAAATGCAGTTTGCCTTTGGCCATCCCTACTTTGGCTATTTGGGGAATGTTGTAGCTCTTGCAAACATTGTTTCTATCTGTGTAAGTAAAAGGGGATGTGTGTGTTTTGTTTGATTGTTGGTTTTTTCCCTACTACGAAGTTCAGTTGTTCTTTATTCTAATAACCACTTTTTGTATCAAATGTCCATGTTTGGCATGCTTTAGTCATGCCAGGTCTTAGAAGAGAATACCTGCAGTTAAAAAATATACAAAAAATATACATTGAAAAGATCTCTGCAAAGCATGAAAAACTGTTCTCGTGTTTAAAAATCTGCAGCAGTGAAGCAGTGGATTCATAACATACTTCTTGTTGTTCAAGGTGGTTTTGGTGATGGATGCAGATAAGCAGCCATCTGAAAGAGACGACTTCTTCCTAGGGGTAAGATGCAGTGTATTCCTACAGTTAGTTCTGTTTCCTGAGGTGTTAGTAATTCTAATCATTATTTTTATTTTTTGGGGGTGAAGGCTATCAACTGCTTCTTCATCCTATACTATCTGCTGGAAATGTTGCTGAAAATCCTAGCAATGGGCTTGAAAAGATACTTGTCTTACCCAAGCAATAGATTTGATGGACTTCTGACTATAATTTTGTTGGTAAGTTCTTTTTGACTTCTGTATTCCTGGATTTATTGACTAGGGTGATTAGGAACTGCAAGAGCTATGGAACTGCTTTTGATTCAACACTACTATGCTGAGTTAAGCATCATAAGACAGTGTTGTGGTTTGCAATGGCTTGAACGTTTGTTTCTCTTAAGGTCTCCCTTCTGGAGGTAGGCTTTTCTTACATTCATGGAAAAGGTGAGCTTTCTTATAAGAAGCCTTTTAAATGTTGTTTGGAAAAATTCAGCTCTTGGAGTAATTACATAGGGAATTCTGTTACATAGTTAAAAATCTCTGTGCTTTTTGAATTAAAAATCCCCAAATTCTTCTTTTTCTTCTTGTTATGTTGTAAAAACCTGAAACACGTATGGCGAATGGCCAAAGTCATGGTGAATGTAATGCACTGTGTATCCTTCCGTGTGTCATTGTTGGATGGTGTGTGTGTATTGTAATAATTTGGTAAATACCTAGTCAAATATGACAATTTCAGTGCTTCAGAGTGGGTGACCTTAGTTGTGCAAAGTTCTTGAAGATATTTCCTGTCAAGAAACTTACGCACCTTTTGAAACTCAGAATTATAAATTAAGGTTTTGCCTTTTCTTCTTTCCAAATAAAGGTTTTGGAGGTTGCAACTTTTGCTGTATATGGATTTCCTCATCCTGGTTGGTACGTAATCTCTGTGAACTGTTGCACTTTGCTCTGAGTCTGGGGTGTGTCAGGGGAATATACACATAAGTTCATACACACTCATGTTGTCATTACACTGCGATTGTCAGTGCAGCAGTAATTTACCAAACGTAGGAGAATTTCTCGCCATCACAGTTGCTGGTGGCCATGCAATATGGATGAGTGAAAGAAAATTATAAATTTTTTAAAAGGAAATTTAGAGTTCTGTTTAGCTATTCTGAGAAGGATGCATTTATATTACTTGCAATCTGATGTAAAATAACATCGTAGCAGACCTATGCTTACTGAAGGTGCCAGAATGGGAATTTGGTACAGCATACACAACCAGTTAACCTAGTATGTTTCAGTGTAGGATTGTCTGTAAGATCAGTTATATGAAACCCCTTGATGTCTGAGTTTTGTGCTGCAAAATTTAGAAGAAAAATTCCCATGGACTTAAAACATTTATATTACAACAGTAAGGAGTTATCTTTAGATTTTTCTTAAGGTCAGACAGTTCTTGGATACCTGTTGTGTGTTGTTTTTTTTATCAGAAGCATAAAAATCATTGTTTTGTCTCTTGAAAACTGCCACCACAATGAAAAAGACAAGCAAAGGGTTTCGGGAAGATTTCTTGAATCTTGGATACTAACTGCTAACAGTCTCATGGCATTAAATATTGACATAACTTATAGTTGTTTATATTTGGGTTTGATTTTTGACCTTTGATTCTTACATGTAGACACTTGTTTGCTCTACAATAGTATCTTGAAGCACCAGTAATACTTGTTAGATTTTTGTTTCGGTCACTGCCAACAGATGACAACCCACATGAGTCATTCCAAGTCCTAATGCTGCTTATGGTGTGTGCCGGTGGTAATTGCTTGGTCTGTAGATGTAGCATCTTCAGGACAGGACTAATATGTGACTGTATTCTAGAATATGTGTTCTATATAGTGTTGTCTTTAATAATTTCTTCCACTATTAGAGTTGAAGATACTAGTGCTGCAAATCATGATTTAGCATCTGTGTTACCAAGAACCTTTTCCATTAGCATCTTTCATCCCCCCACCTTTCCACCAAAGAAGCATCCAGCAGGCCAATGTAAAAGTCTGTTAAAACTCAGGCTGACATATGAAGTGTATGCTTATCACCTGTGGAATATGCATATAAGGAAGAAGGTTGTCAAGACAGCCTGCTAATTAGTACTTCTAACTTCAGCCAAGCATAACCTGAAGGATTAATGCGCATCTTTGTGCAAGCTCCTGAAGTATCTCACTATAGCAGTATCTTTGTATTGCTTTGTTTTCTAAAAGGATCCTCTTTGGTCCCTCCCCCCCAGCAGAAGGAAGGCCACTTACGCAGGTATTTTAGTACAAACATGCACTTTAAAGAGCATGTATGCATATTTAAAAGCCTAGGCTAAATGGATGTCTTCATCAATTATTAGAGTTTACTGTAGCTGAGATTCCTGATGAGTAAATTAACCAAAAGTTTTAGGGAATTCAGTTACCTGCACCAGTAGATTTTACTGTGTCTTTCTGTCATGAGCTGTTTCTCTGATTTGTTATTTTCTTCCATCTGTCTTAGGAGACCTGAGTTCATGGGCTTACTATCCCTGTGGGATATGGTGCGATTGGTGAACATGTTAATTGTGTTCAGGTTCTTGCGGATTATTCCTAATATGAAGGTGTGTGTTTATCCCTCCGTGCTTCTCACTTCTTTGTGGGTCAAATTGTAGATTTGTTAAAGCCTTTTGTAATAACGTAACAATCTCTTGTGCCTGAGTGGGATTATAACTGCTCTAACTGTCCAGACTACTGCACAACACCTCACAAACTCAGTTTTCCCTGTTTTAGTCTTACTAGACATACAGCCCTTGAAGTCACAGTGCTTGTGTATATATAAAAATCATAGTGCCTGTGCATGAGGACCACAGCATTATTCATTCATTTTAAATACCTTATGGAAATATCAGTGTATAAAAGTTCACTTTACTGGTTGGTATTTCTTTGTCCTTTTAGTGAAAATAATTTGATACGGATTGGAAGTGCGATGAATGTCATGCATATAAAATTCTGTTTTGTTTTAGTTCATGGCTTTGGTTGTTACTACGTTGCTGGATTTGGTAAAAAACTTGAGAGCCTTTGCAGGAATTCTTGTGGTAAGTCATGATGTGAGGTTGTAATTTCCTTTCTTACAGTTAGGAGTAAAATAAGGGTATGTCATCAGCGAAGTAAACAAAGTTCTTTGACAATCATTATGAATGGTCATATTGCACCTTAATCAACCAGTTCTTCTCCAGGGCATGTCTTGCAAAGCCCCAACAAACTACTGTTTTGTTATGGGCTGTGTACAGTGACAGTACCTCAATTGTGAGTTTCTTTTAGGAGTGCCTTTAAAAGATAGATTGGAACTTCCTCAGAGTGCCTGCCTCAGGCTGTATACTCTAGTTTCAAATAAAAATTCATCCAGTGCTAAAAGTAGCCTAGTTTTCCTTACCCTGGCTTGATATGTTATATTAAATAGCAAAACAACTTTAAATTCTTTTCAGTTGAGAAGGTCTTGAGATGGCATGCTTGGATATGAGTTTTAAAAGCCTCTGCCATCCTGTTTTTGGTGTGGCTGTGTAGAATGCGTGTAAACATGTGATTAAAGGGTGGATCGCAACACATGTTGAGCACTACAAAAATCCTCTGTTTCCCAACTTGTGAGTTTCTGGCTTTGCAACAGTGTGTTCCTGGTAGAGCAAAGAAGTGCCTGAGTAGTTTTTTATTGCTTGTAGGGTTTTTTATGATATCTTAATTTGAGGCAATGCTTAGAGACCAAGGATTTGCCTTGTGTTAGTATTGTCTAAAAAGTTGTTCTAGTTTGTATACTTAGCATGCAGTTTACGCAGAATATCTGGTTTTGTCACTATTAATCTCTGCTTTTATCTGTAGGGGAGGGGCCTTAAATAGCCTTCTAGAAAGATGGCAGGAACCTGTAGTAACAGGCTTGATTTTATTTTTAGGAAATATGCGTATTTCAATGAGGCGTCCCTACCCGTATATGTAAGACGCAATGCTTATGAAGTGGTTTAAATGTCTGCTCCTGATTATCCTTAGTGCTGGGAGTGTGAATTGTAGTTTTGCACCAATGATGAAGCAAATCTGCCACTTCCATTAATTTAAAGTAAAATTGCTTTTACTTGAGGCTGTGTGGAGGCTGTCACTGAGCTTATACTGTAGTGAAGTCTGACTCCATTACCAGCTGATTCAAAGCATCTTTCATAATGTTAGCCTGGAACATGTGCTGAGAAGGTCACTGATTAGCTAATTTCTCAAGCAGTGAGTGTGTTAAATATATCTTTTTCAAAGAACAGAATTACTTTTATTATTGCCAAGCCAGATACCCCATCTTCTGGCAGACTGTGGAATGTCAGCTTCAGCTTACTCCAACAGTGTTCCAGGTGCTGTGGTTCATAGGTCAGGGCTGTTTCTCTTCTTCTGTGCCCAGACTTACCCCTTGAGTCTACAGAATACAGAAACGTATTAACGAAGTTGCTGATCTAATATAAAATACTGACTTAGTTTTGTCCTTGGCTAAGTTTAGTAGAAGCTTATTTTCACTGAATCTAGCAGGAAGCTCAGATATTTAGGTTAGTCCTTAGGAACGCAGGTACTGGTTTTGTTTTTTAAGTCACTAATCTGCAGCTAAATATCATCATTTTGAGACACAGGAAGTTAAAATAGATGCTGAAGTAAATTGATCTTTTTAACAATTAAAAGTTAAATAGGAAATTAAAAAGTAAGAACAAACAGTTTAATACAGACACTGAGAAGTATTTTCACTTGAATAGCTTCAGGCATTGTTTGTTCATGAAGTTCTTTGAACTGTGGTGCTCATGTGTATTCCATATTAATTGCATTGTTTTCTTATTTAGTGACAGAAATATTCAAATCTAATACCTCCTTATATTCCTTCCAGGTGGTTTTCTATGCATTTGCAATAACTGGCATAATGCTATTTAAAGGTGCTGTGGTTCCCTTTGGAAATATCAGGTAACACCACCACTGTTTTTCAGTAGTATCTGCAGCTTGGTGTCTCTGAGTTGTTGCTTGTGGTTGGTTTTGTTGGGTTTTAGCTCTTATACTTGCACCTTCCTTTTAATGTTAAATTACATAGACTTTTCAGCTGTTGCTCCTGTTTCTTCTTGCTGTAGTGGAAGTGCAGGAATGCTTATCTG